CTTATATCAAGAATTTCTTATATTGAAAGTTTCTTATATCGAGAGTTGTATACGTATATTATTTGTCAAATAATTAATCATAATTTTTGTGTAACCGTGACAAACTTTCTGTACAAAAAAAGGTGTCTTCTCTAATTCATATTGATAACAATCTATGACATAACGATAAATCATCCAATTATCATTCCCATTTTTAGTCGATTTTTGGTTTGAAATTATCAAGAACAATTTTAACAGAACTTTAATTCTTGCTGCCTTTAATAGCAAATTACTGTACATAAGTATCGATCGGACCTAACTATTCTGCTGAAAAAGCTGTCCTGATTTAGATTAGGTCTGGATTCATCTATAGTTAATATTTGCCAGAGGCAAATTGTCGGTGAATTCTATCAAACCAAATTAATCCAAGTAGCCGAATATTGTCTATTATTGCAGTGTTGAGAAATACAAGGTTGTCGAATTTTTTTTTGGGAAGGAATGTAGATCTTATAAGTCATTACTAAGACACTAATTTTCAAATTCTAAAATTGATGACGGATTAGCACATAGGCTAGCTAGTACAGCTACATGTCACTCTGTACCTGATAAGTTACCGATAGATTTAACTCAACATTATTTTATAATGCCTTATGATTTAACTGATTCGAATGTTTAGGTTTTAGTTTGATGGTTTCTTGGAATTACCGGAATAACAGCTTGTTCACAATATTAAAAACGTGTCTAACAGCTTGTTCACAATATTAAAAACGTGTCTAACCAGTTTGCATTTCTATTTTTTTTTTTTTCACGAATAAAAGGCACGAAAAATATTATGCTAAGCTAACGCTAATAACAATATACCTTTTATGTAATGTTTAGCATGACAATGCATATACGTAATTTTGGTTTCCAGTTCCGAATGTTCTTATCATTTCGACCAATCTTTCCGGTCGATCATCCGATCCCAACCTGGTACACATTTTCTAGGTGCTTGCCGAATAAAGTATTATATACAGTACTATATAATTTGTATAATTTTCACCGGACATTAACAGTTCCTGTTAACCTAGTTTACAAGTAAATAAAATCATCTGATTGAGCATGTATATGTTGTAAGTGGGAATGGAATTTAAGTTGATTTGGAATTTCCTAGTTAAATTAGGGTTATGGTTAGGGTGTACATATGATAAAATCAACCTCAAAACGAGGGTTTTGTATATTAATTCCGAATCCACTTAAATTCCGTTTCCACAAACAACATATGCATGAGTAAATATAACCATATGTAGAAATGATCAGAAATAAAGTTACCTGAATGATGAACACTTCTATATATTTTTTTGGTAAATTCTACAAGTCTATGTAGAGATGCATACTGTACTGTACATCTAATTGTGGAATCAGAAGCCGTCTAAATTTAAAAATTTATAAATACAATCCGAATTCGATAAAAAATTTTGAGGGCATGCGTAAATAGATCTGATCATCTGTGCGAACAACGCATATAGCGCACTTATAAATTTTTTTGTTGAAAACCTTTTTCGCTTTAGTCAAAAAGGGAATGTGGCGGATCACGAGTAAAAGTGCAACCACGTTTCACGTCTGATAATAAACTATTTCGGATATGATCTACAGCATTTCGATAAAAAAAGATTAGTGGAAATAACTTTAAATTGTACAAAGAAATTTTTAATGTAGGAAAAATAGCATTTAGAGAAAATCTACATCTCAGAACCAAAACTAGGTCAATGGAAATGTGGCATTGTGGATGTTAAAATTTTGCGTGATTATATCTAACTAAAAAAGAATAAATAATGCAAAATGCCTTGAAAATCAAGGATATAATGATTGAGTATTTTTTATTAAAATAGATGTTTGTGTATTGTTAGTAACTGAACAAACGAATTTAGATGCTCATTAAAGAATTTTCTAATAAATAAAGTTAAAATAGAGTTGCTTGATTTTAAAATTCTGTGTACAGTAATACTAGTTATGTCTGTTGCTTCTCTAACGATCTAAATTTGGAATAACTTTATAGAACGCAATAAGATGAAAACTAAGTGCAACATATGGGCAGCTCTTATTGGTTCAACGATGTTGATTCTGATGAGTAAAAGAATATTCGAAATTCTATCAGAAACTTGATTATCAACATTATCATTACGAAATTGAAATATTGTAAACAAATTCTGCATTGGATCACATAAAGATAATATGCGGATATAATTTCATAGAAAGTATATATAGCCAGTACCTAAAATTCAATCTTAAATCAGTTGCAGACCGCGACTAAAAAAAAAATTCTACTTGCGGATTATTAATATTTATCTAAACACATAAATATTCAATCAAAATCTATTGCAACTTTACGTGCGGAATCAGCGCATGTTTTTAAATTTTAATTGCAGAAATTTTTACACCCGCAAGCTTCGCAACCCAATTTCAGATATTTAATATCGTTATTAGAACATAATATTTATACTGTATATAAAGCATATTTAGTATACGAAAGGTTAAAGCTTTAATATAAACTTTTATTACCCACGATTATTTTTTCAGCATTCCTGATTAAATGGCGACAGGGTTTCCGAAGCTCATACATACTTTACTAGAACCGATCCCTCAGTATGTAGTTGGCTGTCTACCAGCTATCGCTATTGTAGGTGCATCACCATCAAATAAGTTGAGGTATAAGTTAATATGGTTATTTCGATGTCTCGGTTGCCCATTTATAGGAATCTTTGCAGCCGTTAACATAGGAGGTGATGAATTATCACGATGTATATTCTGGCTTCTACCTGAATATTTTGTAATAAAAGAAACAAAAACTTCACCAGAATACAGACCTGTCGGATTTTATGCTATGAAAGTGAGTGAAAATCAAGATAAAGCACTTAGGGAAAAAATAGAATTGTGCACAGCAAAAGCATCGGTTCTAGAAAGATTTTCTTCATTAATATCAGTATATTATATAATAGTTGGTATAATGGCAGGAATTTCCCGGGTTTTAGGAACAGTTTCGTGTCAGGATTGGCCGTACATACCAATATTATTATCATGGACAATTCCAGCCCTCTGTAGAAGGGCATTTTCGGGAAACTTGGTGGTTAAAGACCCTAAGAAGATATTTAGAAACAGTGACATTGAAAATGAAAAAAATGTAGTTAAAATAGTTTTGGAAGCTACTGATTCGGAAGCGGAAGGTATCGGCGATAAGCGTGCAATCGTAACATTAACTGCATTTTTATCAATTATTTGGCCTTGGCTTGCTTTACTTTTGGCATACTTAACACCACCAGTCGGATATTTTTGCCGAAGTAAATATTTAACTATTATTCTGTCCGTGTGGACGTTTAATAGTTTATTAGCGTTTATACACCATTGTTTGGGAGAAAAAAAACTAAGTGGTGGAATCTTCCACATTTGGTTTGCTTTCTCCGGTTTTATAGTGGCAATACTTTTATTTGCCCTAGCTTTATTTACAGAAAATTACACTTGGTGGTTGTTATTTGGAAGTTCTTGTGATGTTTCGGGTATTGGTTGTTAAAAATTTAATAATCAATGTATTGCTAACCGATAACCATTCAGCCAAATTCGACGAGTTTTTGGATGTTAGCAAGTTCCATATATAAAACACATGTTTTTATAAAGGATAAACGTTATAAATGCCCATAGATTCTCTTAATATAAGTGTAAATAACTCTATAGGGAATCAGTTTGGCGATTTTGACATGTATATATTTTTTTTAACAGACACATACGTAATATAAAATATGTTAAATGAATTAAGATTTATTAGAGATTATCCATCTCTTTTTTTTCTTAAAGATGTGTACATTCAAAGTAATTGATTGGTATTAAATAAATGATTGAAACAAATATTCTATATTCAAATAAACAAACTAATTATCTAATATATACATTTTTATGACCGATATTACCAACCCATTTTTCGATTTCCTTTTTTGGAAGATCTGCATAAATTAGCCAATCACATTGTAAA